AGCACCTTTATCAGCTCCTTTATGTACATGGCTTCTTGCTCTCAGACAATTGCACAAGCAGATATGTTTAAGATTTACGCAGACTAACATCATGTGCTTCTTCTCTCCTGCCTCTGGAAATGGGAATCACAGGAACGGACAATAACTGGTTTTGTGTGATCTGTGGTCTCTCTGTTCTCCTTCTGCTAGTCATACAGTAAACCTCGTGTCTCCATCCACAGCCTAAAAATTAAGGCACTGGTTAGCAATAACCTTTGTGTCTCTAAGCATAGCCCACAGAGAAAATGTGGAATTCGTAGATAATTTTCTTAGCAATTTCAAAATATCTTTTTAGCGCAGTATATTGATTTTAAAGAAATTGTAGCACCTTAATTTCTCAGTTAGTTATTTAAAGACACTGTTAAACCTCATAGGTAACCATAGAAACGTCTTCCTGATGGCAAACGGGAGTCTCCAGTTTTGGTCCCACTGTTAGTACAATTTTACTTTTTCTAATTTTCTCACTTTATCTATTGATTACTCTAGTAGATAATATCCACATTTTTCCTAAATCTCTTCAGATGCATTCGTGTTTGACCCCAACCCTGTGACCACCCAGCAGAAGTGATATTTGACTGTTTGCCGTGCTCTTTGTATATCAGGGTGCCCCAACATCACACACTCAGATAAATGAGGATTTAAAGTATTTGATGTGACTGCATCAAATATTTCCGTTCTCACGGGCAGTGTTAACTTGGCAGCAAATTTTGATTTAGTTATAATCATAATTTAGTATCTAAATTCCTTTTTTTTTTTTTTTTTTTCCCCATTTACTCTAGTTTTAGTTGACTAAATATCGTAACATTATTGTAGACTGGCTAAAACGAAGTGTTACAAAAGTTACAAAGCGTCTTATTTTCCTTAAATCAAAAGTGTAATGCGTCTACTCTTATTATCATCCCATGTGTTGACATTTTATCACGTATTCATGAGGAGCATGGGAGCTTGCCTCCTCCCGCTCCATTTGTCGGCGGCAGATCAAATTCATGTCTAACCTTACGGCACAAGGAGAGTACTTCTGGGTCACTTCCAAACTCGTCCCGCCTTTCTACACAAATTGATGAACTCTGATTGGATTTTGTCTGACCAGAACATTTTCATCTTGTTTTTATATGTCTACGCAAGTGTGAATACATTTTATCATAGTTTTTGTCCTTGTGCATTAGTTTTTATTTAGTTATCGTCAGGGGGGAAAAAAGCTTGTTGATAAAAACTATGACTAAAAGAATTAATCAACGAAATTAACACGGCTCATCCATTAAGTACTGTCCCAGCATGACTAAAATGGTGACGTTACATCTCAGGTCAAAACTGGTCACCATATGACCACAAAGACTCAGTTTTATTGATATAGCGCACATTATATTATAAGGTAAATATCCTACAATAATAGAATTCAATGAATGGATTTTGTTTCCAAGTATTATACAGGTTCACTCTGACAAAACCAGACAAATTGAACCTTTTTTTTTTTTTTTTTTTTTTTTTTTTTAAACAAACTAAATCTTAGTGAATCCTCTTACATGGTGTTCTCCGGAAGTATTACAGCAGCCATGATGTTTATCTAAAATCTATTTAAATTGTTACATGGTAAATATGTTACACTGTCATAGATATCCTCTCCTTACAAAGCTGTGGTGTGAGCAGTACATTGTCTACTCAGTGGCTATAGTTCCTGATGTTCTCACTGTCCACTCGATCGATGACTTTTTTTTTTCTCTCCCCCCCCCCCCTACTTGATACAGGGGGGGGGGAACAAAACCTTCTTTGGATAGAAAGCCAAACAAAGACATCTAGACAATGTTTGAGAAGTATATTTCATCAGTGGCTTTCCTTCACACCTTTCAATTTCATATTGTTTTACAAACTCGACTAGATGTCAAAAAGACTGCAAAGCTGGTGGTTGTTCAGTGTGGAGATATTTGCTGGGGTGGGGGCTATAGTGCATATGTCTGCTTATATTATTGCGGTCAGTCATTTACTTAAAGACGATACACTTTACCTCTGATCCATTAAACGCCAGTCTTACTGAAAGCATCAAAATGCAGCTATTGAATGGTAAGAACACTTTTAATTTGTGCAAAAGCGAACCTAAATGAGCTATTTCCAGGAAGCTTTCTTGGATTTAAGCTGGGCCTGGTTTTGTGTGTGTCACACATGGGGCAATCGTGGCTCAAGAGTTGGCAGTTTGTCTTGTAATTGGAGGTTGCCGGTTCGAGCCCCGGCTCCGACAGTCTCGGTCATTGTGTCCTTGGGCAAGAAACTTCACCTGTTGCCTACTGGTGGTGGTCAGAGGGCCTGGTGGTGGTCAGAGGGCCCAGTGGTGTCAGTGTCTGGCAGGCTCGCCTCTGTCAGTGCGCCCCAGGGTGGCTGTGGCTACAATGTAGCTTGCCGTCACCAGTGTGTGAATGAGTGGATGACTGGATGTGTAAAGCGCTTTGGGGTCCTTAGGGACTAGTAAAGCGCTATACAAATACAGGCCATTTACCATTTTAGAAGGCATTTCCTTTTTTAGATATGTTCAATTGCCCTGTATGCTAGATTATGGTATGTTTCAGATGTGGTCTAGCATGTCCAGGGACACACTCTCTTAGGAGCCGGGGGGTTACAGAGTAGAGCTGTGATCCAGGAAGCCTACACAGCTCTGGTGCTTTTTCCCAGGCCTAGAGCCCCAGAAATAGTTTGCCCTGCTCATAGTGAAACATAGTTTCCCACTCTTCCACTGAGCTTGGGGTCCCACCAAAGTTAAGCATGTGTAGTAGTGATAACCCACCAGAAGCCTTTTTGTCATCTTGGTGACACAGTTGATGAAGCTATATGTGTTCATGAGCTGAGAGGAAAAAGATTTTTGTCACTGGCGTTGTTAAGATGCACTTCATTTTTCATAAGAGTGCTGACTTTGTATCTGTAAAATGTTGTGAAACTCAAAGCTGATGAGAAACCTAATAAAACCACTGTTTTTACGTCCACAGACAGTATGTCGCATGGTCTTGGGTGTTACCTCAATATATGCAAGACTCTAGTTTTAAAGTAACTGCTGATGTGTTGATAATACACGTCTTGGATATTTTTACATTATGCATGAACAGAATTACATTTATCATCTTATATAAATGCGTATTAAGTGTCATTAAATTCGGGAGTTTTTATGGAGCGTGACATTTATTTTCGTTCCACATGAAGAAGCTCATTAAAGATAAGGGCTTACATAAAAGAAGGATGAAAGAATAATAATGCACCTCCAATTAGTTCTTATGAAGCTGTGCAGATGTTAAATAACTAACACTCCTAGACCCTCTTGACATTTACATATATCAATTTTACTTTCACTTGCTTCTCCATATTTTAATAATTTGTAGTATTTTTCCTGCACATAAGCAGTTTCAATTTTCCAACTGCAATCATGACTTTCTTCACCTAAAACATCAGCGCATAGATATACAAAACAAAGAGTTCCACTTCCTGTCCCCTGCACGTGTTTTGACTTTGTTCTCAAGGAGGCATTTGTTTTTGAAGGACAGGAAATAGTTAAACAATTAGAGGTTACAAAATAATGGCATGACGAGTGGGTGGTCACTTGTAATTATTATTTATCGTGAATGACAAAAGAGATTTCAGGAAAAGGGCTGGCTCTGGATTAGAATGCAGAGAAATGTTACGAGAGGCACTGCGAGGCTCGCTGGTGCCATTACGTATTTGGGTGGAGGGAGCAAGGTGGTGAGGTCATGCTGAGAACAAGGGGGGGGAAGGAAAATAAGGCGTGTGATTAAAATGTGGAATGTGTCTATCTATGAAGCCTGGGAGATCCATGTTTTCATGGGCCACAGTTCAAAATGTGCAAGGCGGGTGAACTGCGAGTGCACACCCAGGAAATGTGACTGGAATCGCAGATGTGAAGAGAGGCACGAGCTTTTTAGTGGTCAATAAAAGTATGATGGTAATGAGATGTAATATGAAAGCCACAAAGAGACAAGGAGGGGTCCCACAAGCAGTGAATATAATGCAAACCATTAAAAGGCTGCATCATGCACTGGAATTTGCACAGTCCTGGCATAACTTCGACTGCCAACTTATGCAAACAAATAGCTCAGCTAATGCACGGTTCCAATACTTGGTATAACATGCACCTAGACCCTGGGAAAAAAACTAGTACTGATGTTGTTTTTCTCAATTTAGATTTAGGTCTGACACAGTCAGCAAACTTATTACTTAAGCCACGGTAGAGTGGAGTTACTGGCCATCAAAGCAAAGTGCGGAGGAGGGATGTTTAGCAATCAGCTTGGGAATAGTGGGAGAGACTGAAAGTAAAGCAGCCAAGAAGTGATAACAGTTTGAAGCAGAGGACAGGTCCCTCCTGTCACAGGCTGCAGCGTGATGTGGAACAGCTGCAGAGACCGAGCGAAAGAGGGGGGGGGGCTCACTTCCTGTGCTTTCTAGATGAGATCCTCTAAGGACCTGACTAAACCGGCACGCTGATGGAGTCTTGTTAAGAAGAAGGAAGCGAAAAACTTCTTTTTTTTTTTTTTTTTTTATTTAATCTTAGAACATGATTTGTGTTCTGCTGCCTTCTGCACATGCCATGTTTATTAAAATGGATGATGTTTTAGCTCTGTTTGTTCAGCAAGTTACACCCCTTTGTTACAACATTCAGCTTAGACAAGTAGGGGGGGGTGTAATTAAAAGTGCCTTTCAGTTCCACAGTTTGGTTTCCATGACAAAGTCTTGATGCACTATTATGTTTAAGGTTTTGATTTTTTCATGTTATAGTATATACACACTATATAGAAATATTGCTTAATATTATCATATTATTCACTGTTCTTGTGTCACGATTGTGGAATTGTCATTAACCTTTGAAGTCTGTGTGTGAAATACTAAAACTAATTATATATTTTTTTCAGTATATTTAAGTTTTCATACAGTATTTTTCACTTTTTCTCCTTTTTTCTTTCTTTCAGAAGAATTCTCCATCCAAGCCGTCGGTGGCTGAGCTGGCCGGAAAGTTCAAAGGTCATATTCTTCCAATACCCAACTCAAATGGCGAGGTAATGCATTTTATTTGTCCTGTATAACAAAACAAAAGTCTACAAACATGTATGTCCGTGCAGAACATTATTCAAATATATGTGCTTTCTTAAAGGAAGCAGTTAGTGAATCATTGCTCGTTCTCTTCCCTTAAATTTGTAGCCTCGAAGACGACCTCCGTGTTCCCTGAAGTTGCGAAATCAAACGGATGATAACGACGAGTCAGATGTGAGTCACCGCGTTCGTTCATTGACCCGCGTGTTACGTTTGGCTTCTTGAAAGTCCCCAGAAGACAGACTTGGATTTGTTTACTGTGCATGTTCATTGCAGCCTCACAGTTTCAACATAGTGGGTAGTGTAATGTTGATAAACGTGGTATTTTATTATTTGTGTTTTTGGTTTTCTTCTTCTGCCTCAATCATTGGGAAAGGCCTGTTGTTTTTCCTCCCAGTAAAATGACAACATGCCAAACAAACTACGCAAATCTATCATTGAGTTATGGGCCAATAAAAAGCACAACAGAAATGTTACATAAGCATAAAAAACAATAAAAATGTATATTTTGTTAGTAACAAAACTGAAATATGTTTAAATGTATATAACAATTCTTAGCATCTGGTAGGACATATGCCTTAATGGGCTACTTTATAAGAAAAAGCGCCTTAAAGCACAATCAACCAATGCTCTTAGTAAATATTAACTTTTGATAAATATTAGCTTTTAGCAAATATTAGTTGTGAATCCACTGTATGTTTGTCTTTCATTAACTGTGTTCTCTGGCAGAAATCTGCTGTTCCACCAAATCCCATTAAAGTCAAGCTGAAGAACTCTGCCGTCATTGAGAAACTGCAGGTTGGTGCAACACATGGTTCATTGGTGAAGGAGGGGGGGGAAAAGCTGCAAAGCTCACTAATGATGGGTTATTGCAGTGAGTATTCAGGAGTCTGTTTTTTAAAGCATTACTGCCACCCGCTGTTCTGTTTTCACTGGTGCCTGAGCCGCTCACATGCAGGGAGGTAAAAGGGGAGAGGCTTGTGCCTTATGCAGCAATCTGCACAGATTAATGAGCTAATTGGATCACAGACTACAGAGGTTCTGGCGAGGCTTTAACTTGCTACTTGAGTTCCTTTGGTTTGCAATTTCACACGGTGGGCAGCCATGGGACAAAAGGGCTGCCGATTCTCCCTCTTTCTTTTCTCTCCGGTGCAGGTAGGACATCAGTTGGCGGGGTTAATTTGTCGGCTATTTGTAGCACTTTGATTTTTCAAGGACAGACTTATAGCAGTGACATTTTAAAACCGGAATGTTGTAGTTGTATGCAGAGCAATATCAAGTAGGTAGGCCTGTAAAGTAATGAGTTAAATTCAGTTTTCAAAGAACGATGCTCACGTTGTGACTGGAAATATTATTTACACATGTTCAAAGAAATGCTAGAGTTTAGTTTCTGCTTCACCTAATCTCCTTATAAAGCAAGTTCTGTGTTTCAGTAAACTGTTATTCTGGTATGTTTATAAGTTATTGAAGTTTAAAATTCATGGAAGAATTTTAGTATCTTGGCTTCAGGATCTTCCCTCCTGCCCTTCAGGCCAACCTCGCTCTGTCACCCACTGCTCTGCTGCCTTCACCAAAGACTCCAGAGGTGAAACTGCCACAGGCACCGCTGTCCCCCACCATGCCCTGCAGCCGCCTGAGCCCTCTGACTCCCACCCTGCAACCCTCGCATCAATCCAGTGAAGAGGAGGAACCCATCAGCTTCGACAGCCCTCCTGAAGGGACCCCATTGCCAAGCATCAACAAGGTGCTGTGTGCTTCCTCCTTATAGTATAGTTAGGCTACTTTTATCTTATTACTTTGAACTTTCAGAAGGCCAAAATGCACCTTACATGACACCTTTAACTTTCTTTTATGTTTCGTGGTGAATTTTGTGTGACTTTTGTCACAAAATGACCAACATGAGTTGCTGTCACATTGAAGCCCCGTGTTTCTCACGCTAATTGCCGAATAAGCTGTGATACCACAGCCAGGTACATTTCCCCCCCATCCCTACTGACGTGCTTCTCAGTGGGGGTTCTGCAACGTCTGTTTAAACAGGCCGGCCTTGGATAAGCTCAAGCAAGATGCTCCTGTAGTTCATGTGTGCTCCTGCTGGGTGGATTGAGGATGTAATCCCCTTAGCCTAGTTAGAGTCCCTGGGTGTCATTTGTTTGGTGCTGTCACGCATATGCTGATTAAACCTAAACAGTTACTTGCATCATTTAAAGCTGAAAACCTGCACACTCTTACAGATGTAAAATTAATCCTTTTGCTTATTTTTTCCACACAGACCCGCGCACGACTGTCATTTAAAAGGCGACTGCCCACAAGACAGCACAGGAGATCAGCTGGAGAGGAGGCGGAAGGCTTCGGGAGTGGACTGTCCCCATGTGAACTGTGCAGCCCAAAAGAAAATGGGGTCAAGAACCAGGTTTTGGACAGCCCATCAGAGGAAGCTGAATGTAGTCTTAAAGAAGCTGAAAACAAGGAAGGGGACTGTGAAACTGCAAACGCTGAAATGACAAAAAGCGACCACGACAACAGGGAAGACATGGAGCATGAAGCAGAACAAGACCGAAGCTCTGATGCTTCGAAGGAGGAACAGCAGGCTTCAGAGCCTGCCGAGCAGAAAGAAGGTGACATTAGGGCAGAAGAAAGGCAGGGAGAGACACCTCAGGAGGCAGATGGAGGGAAGTGAGAGGGTGTGAATGTTTACATGAAAAATACCAAATATATGAATAAGTTATTCAGTGCTTTTCTGAGAAACTGTTAGAGAAATACTCCTCCTTAAGAGTTATTTTATTCAGGTTTTATCTCTTTATATCAGCTCTTAAGTCCCTCTGTCGCCTACTACTGGCTGATAAGTTAAAAAACAAAACAAAACACTGGAGAGTCATGAGAAGCAGCTGCTTGTGCACATGGAAATGAGTATGGCAGTTAATGCTGTATTCCCTGAGCACAGGAAACATCCATCATGTCGTACCAAGTCTGTAAGACTCCTGTTTTATAATTTTCTTTTTTAATGCAAATGTTTCTTTGTCGAAATGTCAAGAGTGCACTTCCATATCAGGAGTACCTGACACATCCACAGAAGTGTTTAAAGCTACCACGTTGTGGGTTGGTAAGAGGCAAAAATGTATTAGATAGTTCATATATATGTAAGCAGATATATAAATGCTTTGACGTCATACCAAAGTACTTTAAGCAAAGTATGTAATTTTAACTTAGTTGTTTTGTTATTAATGTATGTTGATCTATGCTTGTCTTTTTATTTTGTATACTTCAAAATATAGAAATCACAGTGCTACTGTGAAATCATGCACAGAAATGTTAAGAAAATAAACTGCTTCTTTCTTACATAACGAATACCTTTATGTTTTGTTTTTTCTTTTCCTTTTGTTGGATCGTCATGTATCAGTGAATATACCACATCCAAAGAAAACTGTTTTCCAAGGAATACAGGAGGGTCTTGAGTTGTTTTTAGCCAAAAAGTTAGAGTTTATATTAAGACACTGTCATTAATAAAGGGAAACTGTACTATTGACCAAATGCAGAATTGCCCCTATATAGTGCTCTTACAATTTCTATTTAGAATTCATGTCAGTAATGTTAATGTGTGTAAACTGTTGACTAATAGTGTCATTGCACCAATTAACATGAGACAAACTGCTTCTTGGCGATTAGCATTAGTCCGTGAAGTTAATGTAATTTTCTGCATTGGCTTTCTCTATTTTCAGCTTGAACAAAGCTCAGAATAAATGGAAAACAAAAGCCAGAGGATACTCCTTTAAGCATTAACAAATACCAAGAATGTCATCTGACATGTCTAAAAAAAAAAAAGCTCCTTTATTGACACAAAAGGCGTGACTTATACTCACCGGACACTTTCACTTAGATTAGGTGCATCTTATTATCTTCTTATCTTATTATTTTAGCTTTGTGTCATGGTGTAACTCTGAATACTTTGGTTGTGAGGGGTGGAGTGGCCTTGATATGGCCTGCACCTCACTGGATATTTTTTATCTTTGGACCAAAAGACAGCTTATCTGGCACAAACAACCATGCCGCGTTCAAAGTCACTTTAAATCATATTTCTTCCCTATTCTCATGCTCAGCTTAATCTTCAGCATGTGCCTTGTCCATGTCTAACAACACTGAGTTGCTAACAAGTGTACATAAGAATGCGTATGTCGGCCTCTGGTGGTAATCCGGAAGAGGTTACAGTAATTCCTAAACCTGTTTCAGCAGTGGAATAAAACTTATCTTCAATGTGTAAATATCTCGTTTATTTGTATCGACCGTTTTTGAAGTCGTTCAATTCAAATCACAATAATAGAAACAACAACAACAAAAAAACAGCTTTCTGAAAGGTCATAAGTTCACATGATCCGAACCACTGATAAACTGAACCACTCCTGCAAGGACAGAGTAAATATATGGGTCATCAAGAGATAAACCAAACAATAAACGTTATGTGGAGCCATGCTTTGGTTAAGCAAATACTTACGTATCATAAAAAGCACTCGAGCGCATAGCTGCCAACAGATTGAAGAATACTGAAAAAAATCACGTGGGCTGCAAAGAAAAGCATAAACAGCAGTGCTTACGGGTACATCTGCATTATATCTAACTCTGTAACGTAATTCAACAGAGAAGCTGCTTATCAATCACGCATTGGTGTGCCGCTGGCCAGCTGTTATAACGTCATGAGTCCTTCCAATGTTTCCTCCCAAGTTTCGAAGTCGCACCGCCTCTCCGCTCCACCGAAACTTCAAGACTCACCTGTCAGACTTGAGAAGGACACGCAGGGAAGGAAGATGTCGTGGCTCGTCTGAAGAAAAGCTTTCCCAGAAGCTGTCTTGAGTAACGATGTGAAGTCACTGACTGGTGTTATTCAGGAACTGTTAATATACTTTGAGAATCTCAGCTGGGACGTTAATGTCACCGCGGTCAGCTTGTATTTATTACCATTAAAAGTTGAGGCGCATAGGCACTTCCGGGTTGGAAAGAATCTTGCCCAGGATCACCATGGTTGATATTCAGATGGAAATGTTGAAATCCCAAGATGAATTCAATGGAGCACCGGTTTCACGTGCTCATGGGGTGAGTAAATGGTATAAATATGTGAAATTCTGTTTAATGTCATTCTTATTTTGAATAATAGCGTTATTGGTCATGATATTTTATGAAATACTGTCTGTATGTTTAATCACCTTGTAATAAGTCCTCCAGCCCTCTCTGTGCGAATAGAAAGTAAAACAAAATGCTCCTTCTTTCCTGTATACTCTACTCTGTAATACTACTAAAATTATACTAACGTCTTATGTAGACGGACGAGTTAATTATGTATTTTCATACTGTGAGTATGAAGAGCAGGAATGCATTAACAGCATGAAATGAAGGAGCCCACATGCTCCTCCTGTGTGCTTGAGGGTGTAACATGGCTTAGGATTCCAGTCATAATACAGACTCAATTCTTGAGCAACTTTGTTTTCACTCATTGATGTGAAAGTTTAGTTTAAAGGATCAAAAACCAGTTTTTGAAATCCAATGAAAAGTAGCTTCAAAACAAAAGTAATTCTATTCAAGTGCTTTTAAATGTGAGGAAAATATGACCCAAACTCACAGCTCAACACAGTATTGAGTCATCACTTCACTTCTTTATATTGTGCTTCCAAGGAACTGGATTTTCTTGTATTTCTTAACTGTCTCGAGCAGTACTTCTCCACATTTTCTGAAGGTCTTTCAAAGTATTCTTTGGACATTGGCTGCTTTTCCACTCATTTTCAATCCAGTCCTTCTGCCTAACTAATTTAAGAGATTTTTGGGGGGTTAACACTGACCTATGAATCATTCAAGCATAGAAAAGGCAACTAACTCAAGGGATGAACCAGTGTTTTCTCTACAGATAACATATTTAAAGACAACAACAATTTTAAACTGCATCTTGTGCTTCTAGCAGCCTGTCACTAAAGCACACTCTATGAAAAATGCCAACAATAACACAGTTTAACAGGCATGAAATAGTACAAGGTGATTCTGAAAGAGCTGTTAACTGAAAACATGGAATTTCTCAGCATGCTGTGCAGGGTGTCCTTATTAAATTGAGGAAACTGGGAAAGTGGAGGACAATCAAGAAACAGCAGGCATAAAAACTACCTACAGCAGATTATTATTATCTTAAAGTCATGTCCTTAAGAAATGAATACAGAAAAGTCCAATTTTGATCCACCATGCAATACTATCTGGAAACTGTCTTGCAGTGGCTTCATTTTTCAGCGTGACCGTTATCCCAAACACTCTGGTACCTGGATAGAAAACACACGCACAATGGAATACTGTCAGTCATGGACTGGCCTCCCTGGAGTATGGACCTCACCATTATTAAAGCAGGGTAGGATTAAACAAAGGCAGCCAACATCCAAAGAATAGTCCTGAACATCCTTCAAGAAGCCTGGAGATCTATTCCTTTAAAGAAATGGGAAGAAAGCATCCTAAGAGAGTTGTGACAAAGATTTAAGGTGGCCATACCAAATATTGATTTTCAAGCTTTTACAAATTTGTAAAAACTCTGTTCTTCCCTTATGTACTCCATGTTCTTTCTATTCTTACTCATGTTTCAATAAATCACTGCACCTTTGTCCCATTTTCCTTGTAAAATTAAAAAAAGAGGGAGCTGGCTCAAGAATTGTGGTATCTTTTATAAATATCCCCAAATTTTTCACCCTCTAGGGGACATGTGTTACATATGGTGATGCCAACACGAATTCCAGTCCAACCGAAGCAGAGAGTCTCCTGCAACCCGTAAGCAGTTTTCACTAAAGTTGTGCTCTATTTATTTTAAACTATTATTTTATTCTCTATTACACAATGAGAACTACATATTTTTGAGTATGACCTTTCTATTTTTTGAGCAGAAGACAAAAGCAACCGTAGAAGGAAAAGAAACCTCTCACTTTCCCTTCTTGACTTCTATATTTAGTGAAGGAAGTGAGCAAAGTGATGATGCCATCTTTTTTTGTGTCCTGCTAGAGAAATGGTACTAATGGAGTGCAGACATCTTCATGTGATGTAGAGTCTCAAAAATCTGGAAAGGTATGAAAGGGGCTTTTTTTTTCTTGGGTATTACCTCTTGTGGTTTGGAATAAAGAGGCATTATTTTTTGGTATTTGTCCCAGTTTTTTATGTTTTCATCTTAATTTAATTAAAATGAATTTTGATCTTTTGTTTTTTTATGTGAATGACTGAAAAAATGAATATGTGTATTCTGAATTGGTGCATGTTGGGAAAAGGTTTGAGTGCCTGTATATTAACTGACTAGAAATCTAAGTTAATGACAAACCTGCTGCCTTGTAAAGTGTATTCCATTTCATTATTTATATTATCTTCTAGGACTGCACTAAGCGTGGGATAAAGAAAGAGCTGAATGAGAAAGTCTTCTGGGAAATTAGATTATGGATGGTCATAATATTCATCCTCATTGTCATCATTGCAGTGATTTTTACTTCACTGGCTATATGTGCAGGTAAGGTTATGTTTTTTTTACTTGTTAGTGCTACGTTGTGGCGCATTCATTAAGATGGAAATGAATGAAATTTAAAAAAATATAATTTATGTTATGTGAAAGCATGAATATTGCAGGGAGCTACAATGCAGCATTTTTAACTATTCGAATTTTTCACTCACTGATTTCTCTTTGGGCAGCAATCCATCAGGATGAGGATGACATATTTGACCCTTCATCGTTTACAGTCATTCAGAATTTCCGTGGGAGCTTCCAGATGCCAAACCAGGTCTTCACAGACGAACTCGCCACCAATTCCTCCAATAAAAGCCAAACACTGGCTACAGAACTAGGAACAAAGGTTGGACCACTTATAACTTATATTTTATAAACGATGTACTTGATCTGTTCGTGTTAGCTGGTTGTATTTAGAACTTGCTACATACTCTGTATGGACAAAATCACTGGGCCATCTACAGATGACACCTGCTCGGCTATGGAAACCCATACTGTGATGATCCTGGAGTGCAGTTTTTGATTTAATGTTAAGGTCAAGGAAGGCTTTGGAACTTTGCATTTAGTCAGAAGAACATCGGCGCCTCAGCAGTCGGTGACCCTACTCTGCAACGTTACCACCGGTATCTGTGGTCTACCCCTCTGTGGCTGAGTTGCGGTTCCTAAAAACTGTTTTAAGAAGTAAATTATGGATGGTCACTCTAAGTGGTATTAACTACGTTAATACCACTTAGAGTTAAATGTGGAAATTAAACTTTAAGAGTTAAGGGAGGGGAATAAATTTCACAAACTGGCTTGTTGCAACTGCATCCTATTACAGCACTACGCTTTTTAGAACAACTCATTG